CACACACACACACACACACAAATAAATAAAATTAAAAAAAAAAGGAAGATGTTTCCAGAAATTTATTTAAAACAAAAACAAAAACAAAACCAAAACAATGAGTAAGACAAGAGTGAAACCATGTCCCAACTGCATAGGTGATCCCAGTACCGAATGTGGTTTCCAGTCAAGGTTTGTCCTGCAGAAGGCAGTCCACTCTATCCTGGCGCAGGGCCATGACTCACCGTAGGGGAACTTTGCAAAGGTATAAATAAAGGCCCCTACTGTTGTTCTGGGGGCCACTGCCCATCAGGCTTGGTCCACCATCTGACCTCAGCTATTATCTCCTGTCTTTATTTTCTAAATCCTCTCCCTGTTTTCTCCTTGGGACCAATGAGAGACCAACAGATCCCTACAGTAGTACAGTCATCAGCAGGCAGAGGGGAAGGGTCATCTCCACAATGTCAATACTCCTTGGTGGTATTCCTCGAGCCAACCCTCCACATCTTTTTTTTTGTTTGTTTGTTTTTTGGTGGAACCGGGGATTGAACTCAGATTCCTGTGTTTGCCAGGCAAGTGCTTATCCTATTGAGCCATCTATCTGGCCCCCTCCACATCTTATAGTGAGGAAAGCACTGTAACATGCCATTTAATCCCAATTCAACCTGCACAAAAGGTGGCTTTAGGCCAGGCTGAAAGCTACAACAGGTGTACAGGCAACTTCCTGGTATAGCCAAGCAGGTGGGCTTCTGCACTTCTTCCTTTAGCCCACAGATTAGAGCTCTACTGCTTAAGTCCTCACATCTTCTTCTAGGCACTGGATTCTTGCGGGGAGGGTAGAGCGTGGGGTTCCAGGGTTCTGAACTTTTACTAAACTGACTTGGCTCCAAGTAATCAGTATTACTTCCTGTTGACATCAGAGAGGCCCTACTTGTAATGGGAGCGTTGCAAGCAAAGTTGAGATCACCACTGACCAATGCTTGTTGAAGTGGGATTCTCACTAGGTTTCCAGTAGAATGACACTGCTTCAAGCTTTGAGCCATGGGCAGTCAGGGAGCTCCCTAACCTGTTTTTATTACTGATGAAGACAAATGGGAAGAGCATAGCAGGGTGAAGTGCAAGACTTCTGAGAAACATATTCTCTACCTAACATTTCACAGGAAAAAAGATTTTGAAAAAAAAAAAAAAAAAAAAAA